CCCTCCAGAAGCTCCCTAACTAAATCCTCACTCACCCTAGGCCCAGGTGAGCCTCCCCCAGGGCCCGAAGGGGGCCCAGCAGGGAGGTGGCAGTTCTGGTCCTTACTGAGGAAGACAGAGGCAAAGAAGTTATTAAATATGTTGGCTTTGTTGTCTGGCGTGACAACCAGATTCCCTGTCTCGTCCTGCAAGGGCCCCACTTTTCCTGGGGCCTTCTTTCTACTCCCTATGTATTTAAAAAAGGACTTCTTGTTGTCCTTAATCTGGGAAGGTACAGCCCCTGTTCCATCTCTGCCTTGGCCTTCCTAACCATCCCCCTACATCCCTCGACTGAACCAAGTTATAACAACAAACTAGAAGAGGGGATGTCTTCCCAAAACAGATGGAGGAAGCATACCAGGACCTCACTTAAATGTGTCAGCTTCTCAGATATGACAGGGAGGTAAGCAGACACTGCAGTGCCCAACTGTTCACCCTAAGCAATTCGGCAATTAAGAAAAGGACATCTTGTCCTGCCCAAGCAAAGGCCCACAGAATCTTCTACATTTTTCACTATATCCCAGTTGAGCCAAAATTCTCCAGTGACGCCAGTGAAACTGGTATGTGGCACAACCTAGCAAATCCACAATAAGCAATCATTTTCCTGACTTGAGAAAAACTATTAGAATGGAAAATTAGATATACTGCACAACAGAACCCAAGATAGCTGGATCTGAGCACCAGGTTCCCACAGTGGGAAGACTGCAGAACCAGAGGAGAACATAAAGATGCACTGAATCTACATAGTTGTTACTGAAGCATCATGATGTGGTACCAAAGCCTACTACGATCCCCAAGTGAGAATGACAGAGCTGAACCATGAAATAAGTAAGGCAGGGGGTTGCTGTCTGCAGTATTCAGGCAAACAAGGAAAGAGGGAGATTAAAGTAAATGAGTCCTCTATCTTGAGCTGCATCTACTGAGGAGGAAGAGTACGGAAGCTGAGGGACATTGCCAAAGCTCTTCATAAAAAATAAAGTATACGATCAACCTCTACATCAAACATGGGCAGTGCTAACTCAGCAGATGGTGCATGTTGGTGGGTGGGCATGGGCATCCTTCAGGGAACAAAAGGGCAGAAAGATGACGAGAAAGTTTAAAGCACCAATCCTGAGCTGCTGTATATTAAAGGGTTCCCGATTACTGCACATCTAACCTGACCTCCACAGATACTTTGCCCTTACCGTATGCTTCTTCAATAAGAGCACAATAAGGATTAATGCCAGCACCACTGCGTCTAGATTCCTGCTCTCCAAGTCTGAGGATGTTCTCCAGACCGTTCAATGCCACCTGAACAATCTTTGAATCCATTACTGTAAGAAGGTCACAGAGTGGTTTGATACATCCCAGTTCTACTAAATACCTGCAAAACACCACATACAGCATGGTCAGTAATTTAGATCAGTCATTTGCATACTATATGAAGTTGCATGGCCTAGCAGTTTGTAGAGGACTATGAATCAAGACAATGAGCAATGAAAGTCCATTCCCTTCCTGGTCATCTAGGTGTCCAGATCTGGTTGTTTATACAATGTTTTATCCTCATTGTATATGTGCCAAAAATGCCACTTATGTAAAGCTAGTATGCTATTCCTGATGGCATACCACATACACAGTTGGCTGTGTGACTATGCAGTCACACAGACTGGGCATGCATAGTAACAGCCATACCACATATGCAAGCCCTTTGTGGACACACATAGCATTCTCAGATGCCCAGAAAGAGACTTGGCCAAATCCATGAATGTCAGACCTAGAGTTAGGACCAGAAAGGTAGTAGGTGCACAGGTCCATCTCTCTCTCTCTCTCGTCCCATCACTCAGTGACTAAAGCACTCCTGGATTCTAGGGCCTCTCACCCAAAGGGGAAATTTAAGAAACTGGGCCTGATTGGACTATACCTATACTCAAGGTAAAGGCTTTCCAGCTCTTCAGCAACTAGTGTTGTACTTTACACATAAGCATTAAGTTCATTCAAATATTTAGAACAACTTCCATTTCCACCTACTTAATCTGTTCAGCAGAGCCTCCAGATGTTGCATTTGTGATTGCCCACGCCGCTTCTTTTCTTGTCCGAAATTCAGCTGTTTGTAAAATATTTATAAGGGCTGGGAAAATATTGGCATCTATGACTGTCTGCAAAAAGGAATGACACATAAGGTTAAAGCATCAGTTATTAGACATACAGTTTCTTTGTCCTGAGCTGTCTACTCCAATCTCAGTGCTATGTAAGAAACAATGGAAGATTCCTTCTAAAATGAAATGAAATGAAATATTCCTTCTATAGGAGCACTCAGCAATATTTAGGCTTACGTTCATAACTGCAATTACCATTCAAGTCTATGCTGCATGGGGCCCCGGAACATAAAGAACATCTCCACAAAAATGAAAACATCAGCAGATTCTCTTCTGCAGAGCAAGCAAAGCTAGAGATTTTCTATTTAGATAGTTAACTGTCTGGCACATCAAACTAACACTAGTCAAAAGACAAGTTTGTAAAAGGTGGTTTTCCCTAGGAAAATGGCCTTTTGCATTAATGGACAAATATTCATAGTTGGAAACTAATTTATTTTCAATATCATGACAAAATATCTGAGATACATACATACAGCTTTTGCAAATGACAGCAGCATCTTATATTTATTGCAGTATAATTAAATGCAGGTCCGAACAGAATTGTTAAAAGCAAACAAAGGCAATTACTTTTCAGCAATTTTGTAAAGGAGAACAAATGCATGCATTTGGCATAAATAAAAGCTATATTCAGTGCACTGGACAGGATGGATGGATGGATGAAGTTCAGTAAATGAGACAAAAGGTTCAATAGGGCCCCAGCACAATTAGTACCATGACATGTTCAGCCAATTTATGGCACCATAAAATGGCCAACCAGCCACAAAGATAACATAGAACATCTCTGTGGATGGTTTGTTTGACTTAACTGAATGTGTGGCACATCCTGATAATCAGATGACTGTCAGAATGGGTACTAGGCAGCCCTGGGTCCTGAACCTAACAGTCAGCTGATTGTTGGCATCAGGACAGGGACAGCCCATGTCAACCTCCTGATGCCAACAGTGGGCTGGTGGACAAGTGGCACAAGGCTCCTGGCCCCTTGATTTCCCCCTGGAATCTTGCAACCCTTGACCTAGCACTTTAAAGCCAGCACATTTGTTGCCTTGCCTAGTGCTACAAACATCAACTTCTTATATTCCCAGTTGTATTATCCTGATTATCCCAATTATATATAGCACAATATTATGGCTACTTTCACTCCCCTCCTTGATGAGTGGCTTAACTGAAGTAGACTTTTATGACTGAATAATTATGTTCTTTGGAAGTCTAGTAAAATATTCTTGAATATCAAAAAAATTCTCTTTTCTCAAAGGAGAAAACTAGAGTCTTTAGAAAAATCTACCTGGAACACCAAACAAAGGTGCATGCTACATATTTAACATTCTTCCTGAAGCTATGGTATCTTCAGTCACACACTCCAATTACAAGCCTCTGAAAGATGCAAAATATTGAGATGATAATACTGTGATGATAGATTTCCGTTTCAATGGAAAATATTCATCTCCTTAGGACGGGAGAAACTAAGGGTAGAATTCTTCTTCCCTTTGTTATATCTAAATATAAGTTTTTTAGCTGTATATCTAAATATAAGTTTTTTAGCTATATCACTTCCACGCAGCCAGCAAGTCTCTCATCCATACAGTGTGGAAGTATAAATGGGTGTGCACAGATTAAGGATACAGCAGGTTGCACATATAGCTACATATGTGAGACTACTGTGGACACACACAAGTATTTAAGTCTGGAAAATGGAGGCAGCCCAGACCTAGCAAGAGATAGACTTCAGAGCAGGAGTCTCCCATATCCCTGAAGAGGATAATAGTCTTCAAATACCTGAAGGGTGGTTATAAAGAGGATGGTGATGAGTTATTCTCTGTGGCTTCAGTAGACAGGACAAGGATCAATGATCTTAAAACTGCAGCAAGGGAAATTTAGGTTGGATATTAGGAACAGTTTTCTTGCCATGAGGGCAAATAAACATTGGAACTGGCTACCCAGAGAAGCTGTGGAATTATCCATCCTTAAAAGTTCTTAAGAGCAGGTTAGACAAATATGGATGGCTTTAGTCAGGGGTAATCCTGGCTTGAGCAGGTTGGACTAGATGACTTCATGAGATCTCTTTTAGCCCAGTTTTTTATGATTCTATCTGTATAGATATGGAGGCAGATAATTATGGAGAATTCCTTCCAGAGTAGAGATTCTAACCCTGGATCAAAGATACCATCTGAAATGAACTGCAAAGGAGATGAGGAAAGTCCCATTCTGAAACCAGGCAGAAACCAAGCTGGCCAGGAGTCACTTTTGCATGGATATTTCAGTTTAAATTTGCATACAAACCTACGCAGTGCCAACAGACCTCTGGCATATTGATAAATGGAGTACACATATGATATACTTAAAACAAAACAACCCACCGCCCAAAAAAAGTCCTCATAAATATTTCAAATAATTACTTATTTTCATCAATCCGCTCAAGGCACTCCCTGTGATGGAGGAACAACAATTCTGCTAAAACCACAGGGCACCTATAAATGTGAAGTGAGGCTGCTCTGACATGTTAATTACAGTGCATCAGAGCAGACTCTAGCATTTCGTGCATCAGTGTCCCCAGGCTGAAAAATGGTGGCGGGGGCACTTTAACTAAAGTTCATTCGACAAGATTTAGATAAAAGTGCCCTTTGCCACCATTTTTCAGCACAGAGATTGAAATGCTCCAGGAACTTTAGAGTGGCTCTTGGAGCCACTCTAATTAAAGCCTTCCCACCTCCCTCCAGGCATTATGTGTATAAATGCCCAAAGTTTTTATCTCATTCCAGAAGCATAAAAGATGTTCAAAACTAGTGTTTTTAAATTGCAAGATTCTTTCCAAATACATTGGTCTTTAAAAAGGCTAAACTATTATGTTCAAGCTTTTGAAAACAAAATCACTTTAAAGTTATGCATAAGCATGGAAGATTTGAGCCCATGACACAGATATTACACAAAATTCTGTGCATTGTATCATTATCTTGCAAAAACTCTTGTACAACCAGGACCATGTGCAAATGTAGTATGCTTCCTTGTGCTCTATATTACTATAGCGTGGCAGACTGATGATTCTGTAGCAGCTTAGAAGACTATAAACAAACACATTTTGAACCAAATTAAACATAAATCAAGTTAATAAAAAAAACCTATATTATTTTTCCTGATGGTACTATTATTTTCTACTGCATCTACATTTTCCTGTATCATATGGCAAAAATCTTTAGAGGAAAATATTAAAATGTTTCTTTGTTTCACATGTTTTATATAAATGGGTAGAAACAGCTATGGTTTTTGGCATGTAGGAACAGAGTGAATTTGTAGGATAAGCATGTAAGCAGGATCACAACAAAATAGTTCATGCTGACATTAAATATGCATCATTAGATTTTGAAGGTCCAATTAAGCTCCAATTGACAGCAACAATGGAGTGTCAACGTAGAGATGGTGCTAGCAGTTCCTTCTGTTGTCCAAACCTACTCATGACAAGGCTATCTAGCAGTGTGCCTTTGACACAGACAAGCAAGTTAAACCCTGCACTAGTGTTCCCATTACTGGACTTTTTCAGTGGGAACAAAAGCAAGCAGAATTTTCTTCAATCAGAAGAGCTAGAAGAAAAAAATTAAAGAATGGTAAAAGCACAGTCCTACACTCACAAAATAGACTGTATCTTAAAAAAAAGATAGTAATGTAGACTACCATTAACAATACTCAAAAAACCTTTACCAGTTTCATAAGATAACAGTATGGACTCCTTATATGTGGATATAATATCTAAAAGTAGGCTGTTGCCTACAAAAGCTCATGCCTTTCTGAACCACTTAAGTCTCTAGAAGTGCCAACTTGCCCTACCTTCTGCCTGACTTCAGACTAACCTGACTAATGATCTCTCTATATGGATGAAATTATTAAAGTTAATAAAATGGAGAAGTGCATTAAAAAGCAAAGGGTCAAGATAAATGTACTAGTCATGTAAATTTGTGAACTGGAAGAGTAGAATCCTACAACACTATACCAGGACAGGCATCCTAGGATTTGCATTATTTACAAAATATAAACACAGAGCGACTTCCATTTTTGACACCCTCAGGAATATGATTGACATGCTTAAGCATAAAGTTCCACACTGGATAGAAATAATATTCAAGAGAAGCATGGTTTTACATGGAACTGAATGATGGGCTTATAATTAAGGGTGAATTCTCTTTGTCCATGTATTTGCTGCTTATTCTGTGCACATACACATATACAAGAGCATTTTTTTGAACTTCAGACAAGGTGGCAAATCAACTTGGTTATGCAAGAAAATTAAAAAAACTGAGATAAATTTATGGAGGGGATAGGATGATATAAAAAAGGAGTTCTGACTGTACAATAAGGATATGTGATGTAGACTCATACAGAAGTAGGGCTAGAAAGGACCTGTGCAAGTCATCTAGGCCAATTCCCTGCATGAGGCAGGATCAGGTCCACAGCTGCATCCAATACAAATCCTTGTGTAACCCATCACTAAACCTACAGTCAATCCTATCACACAATGATAAGCCATAACCCCTTAACTTGCTGTATGTAAAGAACATGAACAAAGGTGGTCAGTGTTTTGCTGTTGTGGAACAACCTCCAGGTTGCACTGCAGAGTGAAGATTGCCTGGTTATCCCAAGTTTCTGGGTTTGATGGTTGCCATATGGAACCAGGAAAGAAGGGGTTTTCCTCCTCTTGCTCCTGTCAGCATTTTTTCTGCCTTCCTAGGAAGCATTATGTGTTGGCTACAGAAAAACTGGGGACTGGCATACATTAATGTTCCTGCTAGGAGTTAAAAAAAAAAACAAACCTAAACAAATAACAACCAAAAACAAGAGGTTCCTCCAACTCAGAATCAAACTCAGGGCTGTCCCTGGGGGGGAGGGGCGAATCGGAGCGACCACTGCCACTCTGTGCTGCTGTCGGCTTCACATCCGGCCACCTGGCACCCCTCTCCCCTGCCAAATCCAGCACGTCCATTGCCTAGTGCATGCCGCCCCTCCCCCCTTCCCAC